TTGTACAGTGGGTCTGTGTGCCCAGTGGAGAGGTTCATTCCATCACCCGCCCGGCCCCTCACGTTGTCAGTGTCACGCCTGTCCTGCGTTCCATTAGCTGATTATGTCTTGTGTCATCTTTCACTCACTGGAAATGTGAATCAGCTGACTCTCCAGCTTTTACAAGCGAGGACGTATTGTCACTGGTCTCTGCCTTCTTACTGACAGCGGGGAACCTCTCCTTCCTGGGGACCCCATCTCCTGCCGCACACTCGCCCCAGGAGACCAGTCACCACTCGGTGAACTGACTGGCAGGGCCTAGCTCTCACCAGCCAAGACAAAGGACCATCCGCTGTCAGTACCTGGGGAGGCCCCCGGGGTACACAGTGGGGCCTGGCTCCCCCTGAACTTCTGGAACAGGAGGACACTTCCTGATTCTTGGTCACAGAGGCAGACTCGGTCCATTGTTGTCAGGGCAGCAGAGCCGATGGGACATGGCCCCTCCTTCCCAGAGGGGAGAGATACTCCATCCCCCAGGGGCTGGGCCAGGGTCTCACGTGAGAGGCAACATCTAGGGGATCTCACCTGACAAAGGAGGGCCTTGGTTGCTGTGAGATACAGAAAATGTAGACACTAGTTTCTGCCCCTGGCTCCTGACACTGAGCTCCGAAATCCCTTGTAATTTGCTGAGCGACTGGAGCATCTTTTATTCTAATGAGGTACCTCTGCTGGTCACCAGAAAGACCAAGTCATAGTAGAAGCCTGGAACTTTCAGTCCATAATCCCTCATCTTCAGAGGAGGAGAGATGGGTAGGAGATGGAATTAGTGAGTGGCCATGCTTTCATGAGGAAGCCTCCATAAAATCCAATAGCACAGCATTTAGGGGGCTTCGAGGTTAGTGAACACTTCTGCATAGGGAGGGTGATGCACCCCAACTCCATGGACAAAAGCTCCTGTGCTCAGGACCCTCCGGCCCCTGCCCCGTGCATCTCTTCATCTGGCTGTTCACCTGTCCTTTACCATGTCCTATAATAAGCTGGGAAATACCAGTATTTCCCTGAGCTCTGAGCTGCTCCAGCAAATTAATCAAACCCGAGGAGGAATTGTAGGGACCTGTGACCTATAGCCAATCGGTCAGAAGCACAGGTGACAGCCTGGACTTGTGACTGACATCTGCAGTGATGGGGAGCAGTCCTGTGGGACTGAGCCCTGAACCTGTGGGATCTGAAGCTAACTCCAGGCAGAGGGTGTCAGAACTGAATGGATTTGTAGGATACCCAGCTGGACCTAGAGACTTGCTTGGTGGGGAAACACGACATTTGATGGCCAGCCGTGTCAGGAAGAAAGTGTTCTGTGTAAGAGGAAAGGAGACGCAGGATTATTTGTTTTCCCAGCTCACCTTGGTCTCACTGAGGATGGAGGATGGTAGGTCGGTTCCAGCCTCTGCCCAGACCTGGGTCAGCCTCAGTGCAAAAACCCATTACAGCGTTCTGCAGGCCTTCGGTGCCTCACGGTGAGTCAGCACCCACACATGCCCGGAACTTGCAGTGTCCTTTCCTCTTCCAGTAAAGAGGGCCTGGGAGAAAGTCAGCGTCACTGATGATGTTTGTGGAGCAGGGCCGGATGCACCCCCCCGCCCCACCGGCTCTGCCCCGCTCTAGTCGGGCTTGCTGCTTTGCTTTAATAAAGCTCTGACATCCTCCAGCCCTCTCCACCGCACCCATTTGTCCTTAAATGTAGAAACGCACTCCAGGTCTGCTGGCCTCACATTTCTGCCAGGCACAGAGACCGGGAAGAGGCCCTGCCCTCCTGCTGACAAGCAGCCTCAGCGGGCTGGCAAAGCACTGCTCCAGAATCAAGGCTCCAGGGCCCGGCCCAGTGCCCAGTCATCGTAGGCCTGGGCCAGAGAGCTCCCACCTGCCCAGAAAGACCACCACAGTGTCCACCCTCCTTCTGGCCCAGGGGTTGTAAATCTCCTTGGACAGTGTAACTCTACCCTGGGAATGCTCCTTGGAAGGTCAGCACCCCCCACGACCCCTGAAGGCCTGGGGGAGCCTGGGCACCCGGCCTGCTGGCTCTGCTCCGAAGCTCCTGGCTCTGATCCCTGCCAGCTGTGCCCACCCCCAATGGGACCAGGGAGTGATTTGCACCTTTTTGCAGGCAAGAAGGGGCAGCTGTGGCTTCATCCCACAGGGAATTTCTCAGAATCAGAAAGCTTCCTGAACTCAGTTCAACGAGAATTGGGGAAACTCAATTTAACACATGGCTTTTGGCTCCTGCCAAGTGCCAGGGACCAGGGAGTTAAGGGGGAGGGTTCTGTCGGTAGATGCTGTGGGGACCACAGGGCCCTGCTGCCAGAAGGCTGAGCGGTGCTGAGGCAGGGGGGTCCCCTCAACTGACTTCCCCAGGCTGAGGGGCTCCTCCCTTCCTGGGTCCCCCTCCATAAAACACAATAAAAATGGTTACAACTATATTTATAAAGACCAATGTATCAACATTATGTGTGAAACATGTTCTTTGATCAGGAAGTTGTTTTTCTTATGATTTTAAAGTAATTACAACATTGATGTGGGCCCCGTATGACCACACAGGCGCGGGAAGGAGGAGCTCCTGAGCACTCGGGGCAAGTGGAGGGTGGGGCGGGCCAGTCAGCAACCGTGGGGAGGGGCCGGTGAGCCCGGGGGTGGGAGTGGGCGCATGTGCAGAGGGGAGCTGCCCCATCACACCTTGGAGTACCTGGAGCCAGGGCACAGCGCCCACCTCCACCCCAGACTTCGAAGACTTGGTTTTCGAGTGTTTGGATCCTGAGAGTGATGGAGGTGTCTGTCTGCACCAGGCTCCTGGGCTCCTGGGTCCCAGATAGTTTTTGGCCCTAGGACTGTGGTGCTGGGAAGAACCCCTGTGCTGTTGGCTGAGTTGCTAAGAACCTTTGAGACCCTGGAGCACCTCATGTGAGCCTGTCGTGGTCTGGGGGCTGGTGTGGCCAGTGAGATGTACACTGGAGACAGTTCCAGAACTCGCACAGCCTCCCTGCGGAAACAGAGGGTGAAGGGCGAAGGGCAAAGCCGGAGAAGTGGGCCCCACCCTGGCACTTGGTCCTGTCCTCAGCTCCTGCAGTGGAGTTGGGGTGGTGGGGGCTGATTCGTGCCTGCCAGTTCCTATGTTGAAGCCCTGCTCCCCAGCACCTCAAAATGTGGCTGTTTTTGGAGGTAGGTCTTTAAAGACGTGGTTAAGTTAGATGAGGTCATTAGGATGGGCCCTCATCCAATAGGACTATTGTCCTTGCAAGAAGCGGCGATCAGGACAGATACACAGAGAAAGGAGCATATGAGGGCAGGGGGAGAAGACGACTGTCTGCATGCCACGGAGGGACGCCTCAGGAGAAACCGGCCCTGTGACGCCCTGGTCTCGGACGTCCAGCCCCCGGGACCATGAGACTGTGAATGTCCGTGGTTTAAGCCATCCCGTCTGTGGTGCTTTGTCACTCCCATCTGAGCTGACCAAGTCAGGGGTCTCCTCTCAGAGAGCTCGGGGGCTCTCCACGTGCCGTGACCCTCGTGAGCGGCCGGTGTGTACCTGTGGCCAGGGCCCACCCTCCCGCCCCACCAGCCTCTCCCTTCCTGTTCTGCTCCCTTGTGAACTCTGCATCCAGCTGCTTTATCAACAGCTGTAATGAGAAAGCTTGCACAGGCTTAATTTCCCAATGGAAGGTGTGAGGGGCGAGAGGATGGGGGCCGTGCCGGGGGCTGCGTGACGGGCTCTGGAGGCCCAGATGGGGGGATGGGGTGCTGCCACGTGGCACCGAATCTCATCACCTTGGGAGCATCTGGGTCGTACACGTCTGCATTGTCTTAGCATCTGGAGTTTGTCATTTGCCCCGAGGTGGCCCCGCGCCTGCTTCTCTAACAAGTCTGTGGTTTGATGGAATCTTCCTCCTCACACTGGCTTTAATTACTGGCTAGATGTTTACTCACCTCCCTCTGCATCTCCATGCCGCCCACTCAGCCCCGAGAACTGAGCCCAAATGTCACGACTTCAGGGCGTCTCTTCTAAAGTCCTGTTCTAATCGGGCCCCTTCCCTCTGTCACATGTCACCATTGTTCTCTAATTCTCCATTCAGATATTATTATCTCCACCCCAGACTGCAGTTCGTGGAGAGAAGGGTGTTTGTCAGGAGGAGAGAGGGGGAAGGGAGAAGGAGGGGGAGTTGGGGAACAGACCCCTAAATCACAATGGCTCCAGCGCAGCAGAGTGTTCTCTGGGACTGCTGGGTGGCTGCCACTGTCCTCGTGGAGAACAGGGTCCTTCCACCTGGTGCTCCCTCCACGTATCAGCTGGAGGAGGGGAGAGGGAGCCGGGGGCCGTGGCTGCTCCCTAGGCCTGGGCCAGAGGCGTGTGGCTGTCTTGCCTCCTCCACTGGGAGGGATCCAGGCTACGCAAGGGTGTCTGTGGGGACTGCGGCCCTGGACAGTGTCATCTCCACACCTCGCCTGGCTGTAGAGCTCCTGCCAACACTGCGGGGGCGTCACAGTGACAAGGACACACGTTCCCTCTGTGGTGCTCACATCTTGGTGGGGAGACAAACACACAGTGGGTCTCTGGGGTGACGGGTGGTAGGACAGACTTAGGCAGGAGACAGTGTTGGAGCAGGATCCCCAAGTGGGGAGTGTCGTCAACATCTGCCGGGGACGTGTCCACGCCCCACATGAACACCACTGCATGCAGACCCAGAGTCTGAGCCCAGGGTTCTATTTCTTTCCAGTGACTGTGGAGTGGTGTGGCCCTGGAGAGGGAGCTGTGACGCTCTGAGAGGGTATCCAGCGACAGGAGAGGAGCTTTCATCTAAACCAAGACAGCCCAGGTCTCTGTCGCCTTGTAGCCGGCACGGCTCTGTTTGACTCATGGAGAGAGAAAGCAGGAGTGACGTGGGCCGGCTCCATTTTACGACAGTGGCTCTAAGAATATCTCCATCATAACCTGCACCACTGAGCTGGGGAAGGGAAGAGGCAGGCCGTGAGGACTCGGGGACACAGCGGTTTTGAAAAGGAAGCACAGAGCGCTCATGTGAGCTTCTCCTCTGCAAGGTTAGTTGTGTCTGGGCACACATTTCAATTTTCATAATACATGGATTGATGTCTAAACACTGTGTTCTCTCCATTGAAAATAGACTGAGAGAGATTAATTCTGTCACCAATTTGATTTGACACAGCAACTGGGAAACCAACTGGACATCTTTTGCAGACAGAGTTAATTAATCAGATTTTTAGACTGATTTTTTTCTTCTGCTTTAAAAAAATTTGTATAAAACTAATATGTGTGTTTGATATCATTGAAACATGAAAAAGGGAATTAAATTAGAGATACAAGTTCCTCTGTGTCTGGCCCCCACAGACTACAGTTCTGTCCCCACGCCCCACTCCCACCCCCTGCTGTTGTAACTACTCCAGATCTTTCAGAAACTGTACTTACACAGGTGCGGGTGTGTAAATTTGCACATGTATACACTTACAACACCCGTGAGATCACACCATGTGATACTGCTCTGAATCTTGACATAGTGAACAATAATATATTGAAGAGATCTTTCCATATCAGTATAACTAGACCCAGCTCATTCTTTTATATCCTAATTTGGGGGTATTGTTGTTGAGAAAGGTGCATAAACTGCCATTGTAATTGCAGACTTTAGATTCTGTTTGTGTGTACACACACCTATACCCCCACAGACACACTTCCCATCTGCACCTCCACATCTTCAGACACACACACACACACACACACACTCTCTCTCTCTCTCTCTCTCTCTCTCTCTCTCTCTGCAAGGCCCCAGGCCCCACAGCTCTCCCGCTCCCAACGCAGAGGCTCCTGCTGCTGACAACAGGGCCCTGCTGGCTGTGCAGGGAGGCCAAACACTTATTTCTTAAAAATAAGTGTTTGGGCATCAAGGCATCAAGGGCCCCTTGTTGTCCATGCCCCTGACTGCTGCTGGGGTTCCCCTCCCCCGCTGCCTTTTCGGAAATCTTCATCTGCAGTCCCAGGTCCAGGTCCTTTCTGGAACTCTTTCTGCCTTCCCTGGGAGAGCTGGGCAGGAGCTGGGACACTCAAGGGCCACTGTAACCTGCCCGTGGGCTCCAGTCATCTGTTAATCTACAGGCTTGTGCCTGTAGATAAACAAACAGAAAGCCTTTGTGTAAAGAAACATCTTCTTTTCCCCCTTGGTTGTCAAGACTGTAAACAGATGAGGTGACCACAGCACACAGCCAGGAGCAGTGGCTCTTTCCTGGGACACGTAGCTTCTTCAAATGCCCCCACCCACCACAGCTCCCTCTTCTCTGGTACTCAAGCCCTGCAAGTTCTGGTTGTCTTGGGCTCTCCAAACTCCCAACTCTGCCTCCAATTCAGCAAGATAGTAAGTTGGGGGGACTTAAAAGACTCACCTCACCCCTGGCTGGCGTAGCTCAGTGGATTGAGCGCAGGCCTGCGAATCAGATGATCATGGTTTGATTCCCAGTCAGGGCACATGCCTGGGTTGCAGGCCAGTTCCCAGGAGGGGACACATGAGAGGCAACTGTACATTGATATTTCTCTCCCTCTCTCCTTCCCTTCCCCTCTAAAGATAAAGAAATAAAATATTTTAAAAAAGAATCTGTTTTTTAAAAAAAAGTCTCACCTCATTTGTTTCCTATCTGCCAGGGATCACTACCCAATCCCACCTATTGTTCCATGTCTAAAACATCTCCTTTCATATTTTGCCCATATTTCTAGTTATTTAATGTGAGAAAGTAAATCTGGACCCAGTTACTCCATCGTAATTAGTTTTTGTGTAACTGCAAATGTTTTCATTTTACCCTCATTCTAGAAAGATAATTTCATGAGGTGAACAGTTCTTGGTTGAAAGTTATTTTCTCCCAGGCTCTGGAAAATATCACGGTCTTGAGGCTCCCACTGTTTTTGAGATGTCGGGTTAATTGCTATTTAAGTGAGTTACTCCCTTTTCTCTAGATGCTTTTGTAACCTCTTTGTCTTTGAAATTTTCCAGTCTTGACATGATATATTTAGGTGCAGCCTTCTTCATGGTGCCCTGCTTTGTTCCATTAAACCATCAGAATCTGACAAATGCTGCCTTTTGCATCCATTATCTCTTCACTATTACCTTGGCCCCGTTTTATCTGCTTTTTCTCCTGGAGCCCTGGTTAGGCCACGTGGGGTCTTTTTAGTGCACAGACAGTGTTGGCCACTAAAAAGAGCTTATTTCCAGTCCTTTGTTTCTGCGGGCTGTATTCTGGGTGGCTTCTTCAACATATCTTCCTGTTCACTAATTTTATATACATCTGTATCTAATTTGCTGCTTAATCTATTTGCTGAGTTTTCAGTTGTAGTTATCCTTTATTATTTCTATGAAAATCTATTATTTCTATGATAAACTACCTTGTCCGGTAGTTTTCAATACCTTCTTTGATTTCTGTAAGCATATCCATCAAGTTACCACCAACCTGGACCATGTTGAACCCCATTTTTATCTTGGGTTTCTTGGTTCACCACGGGGTTTTGGGACAGCTGGCCCTTCATTTGTATTGAGTTGGGTTTTATGCGGTGTTCTCAGAGCAGACCTTTTTTTCTTTAGTTCTTTTTATTTTTTCTTTTCCACCTCCACCCTGATCTTTCTGCAGGTCTGGGTTTTCTCTACCAGTGTGTGGTTCGTTGGGAGACCCCGTGTTATGCGTGGGGTCTCTGTCCGATACCCCTCTCTTTGCCAGGCTCCAGGCTTCCCCACCTCCACTACAGGCTCTCACAGTCGGGGCTCCAGGTCACAAGAGCTCAGCCCCAAGGAACTTTCTTTCCAGTTGCTCGTGGATTCCCACTGCTCCACCTACCTGTGGCCATCTCAGCCATGCTTTAAAAACATCATGAAGTACATTTGTCGAGATGTTTAGGTATTCTGAACAGGAAACAGTGGACACTTGTTTTCCTAGCAATGTCCTTGTTCCTTCCCCGTTTTTCTCTAGCAGAGATGTAAAGAGAAAAGGGCACTGACCATCCTGGAGAAGAAGCTGCTGCTGGGGTCTCAGGGGACTTCCCACAGACACCATCCTCTCATTTTGCATGTGGGCACAGGGACATTCGTGAGGCTAGATGGACAACCCTGGTCACCTGTACAGGTGCAGGACTGAACCAGGCCTTCCAGAAGGGTGTGCTATTTGCTCCGTGGCACAAGGCGGGTATGGGCTGGCTGGGGAGCAGAAAACCCAACCACACCTGCTGCTGGGCCTTAGGCTTCCATCTGCTTTGGAGCAGAACTGGCAAGTCTGGCGGCACCGCCGGTACTTCCCAAGCAGCAGTGACCAAGGCGACCCTGGGAGGATGGGGCTCTGCAGACCTCGGGGCTAGGGTGGACACCTGCTCTGTTCTCAGGGTCCTCTCTGGTTTCTGAAGGCTGCAGCCCCTTCTGACATTTATTTATTTGTTTTCAGAGAAAGAGAGGGAAAAAGAGAGGGGGAGAGAAACATCATTGTGTGGTTGCCTCTTGCATGCCCCAAGTTGGGGACTTGGCCCGCAACCCAGGCATGTGCCCCGACTGGGAACTGAACTGGCATCCCTTTGGTTCGCAGGCTGGCACTCAATCCATTGAGCCACACCAGCCGGGGCTTGCTTCCCCTTCTGAGATGTCACATTCTAGAATTTGAGAACAAAGTTCACTCTCCTGCTGCCATTGGGGTCCCCTAGGTGCCCTCACCTGCCCTCTCAGTGAGGCCGTCAGGGACTTCCTCGGAGACCCAGACGAGATGCTGTATCTCTCCTCCACCTGTCAGCCTCCTGGCCACAAATACATCCTGACTCATCTGCATGGCCTCATCAAATATGCATACCCCAGCTCAGCAGGGTGGCCAGATGGGGCCGCAGGAGGGTCCCTGTCTTGTCAGACTGCAAAGGTGACCCTGGGCCTATGCTCAGGGCCTCTGAGAGGAAGGCTCCGTCGGGGGGCCTGAGGCTGCCCTCCAGGAAGCCTCCGGTAGAAAAGGACCGGTGGTGGCAGCTGGGGGCTGGCAGTGGCTCCAGTCCTGTGGGGTCGAGCCCAGGCCTTAGCCAGGACTCTGCTGTCTCCTTGGGTCTGGGCTACCTGCTAGGGCGGGAACAGCTGCCCCCTCCGGCCTGGGTCCTACCTGAGCAGCACTTTCTTACCCTGCAATGAACAGCCTAGGGTCTCCACCTAGGGTTTTGAGTCACTCCTGGCTCGGGGCCGTGTTGCTGACGCTGTCCACACCCCTCTGCTGCCCTGGCTGCAGACCCCATCCTGGGATGGCTCCTCCCCAACCACCCTGACCCCCACTGCTGGGAGTAGAAAGAAACCTGCCCAGGCTGCTCATAGCTGCCACAGCGTTGGGACCACGCCACTGACAGATGCCACTGAAAAGGTGAGTGCACCTTCTCTGGTCCCTGGTCCCATGTGGCAGGCTAAGGACAGGTGTGTGGGGTGTGAAAAACTGCTCCCTGCACTGCAGCTGGGTTGGGGTCAGAGTCAAGTGTGGAGCAGGTTTGAGAGGGTGTCTGTCATGTGGGTTCTGTCCAGTCCTTCACCACAACCCACTTGACCACCTGCTGTGTGGGGGTTAGGGGGTCCCACACGCTGGAGAAACAGTGAAGGACCTTGGTCCAGGGAGCTGTGTACTCAGGGAGAAGATGTCACCAGCTAGGCTGAACCATGGGGCGGGGCAGCAGGATGGGGTCAGGGCAGCTGGGAAAGGTCTTGCTGAGTGGGGCTGGACACAGAGCAAGTGGGCATGGGCTTTCTACAGCCAGCCCCGGCTCAGGCACATGGGGGTCAATGTGGCTGCAGTGGGGGCCCATGCCTGTGGCCACGGGGAGGCTGTGGGTTCTGACTCTGAGAGAAATGCGAAAACAGTGGGAGCTCCGAGCAGATGGGGTATATTCTGACTTCAGTTTTCACAAGCATCTCTCTGGCAGCTGTGTTCAGGGTGGACAGCAGGGCAAGTGTGGGGGGCTGGGGAAGCAGGACAGCCATCTAGGAGGCTCTCAGAAGAATGTAGGAGCTGTGATGGGAACTTGGGCCAGGGGGTGAGGGTAAAGACACCAGGAAGGACGCAGTGTGGAAAAGCTTGAAGACAGAGGCAAAGGGCGTTTTGGTAGATTTGATTCTGGTGTAAGCAAAACAATGCATGGGCCGGCAGGCTTGCTCTGACCTCGTGGGCCAGGCCTCGTGGGCATGTTGACTGGAGGGTCTGCTGGCCTTGTACTCTGGACGTGCTGCCTCAGCTGCGGAGAGGCTGGGGCTGTGCAAGGACACCTCTGCTCCCACAGTGACTGGGGCTGAGAAGCCAAGGAGTCCCAGGGAGCCATGTAGGAGGGGAGGGGAGGGGACGGGGCCCACTGTGCAGGCACAGGGGGAATGTGGTGCCCTGAGGACCCAGAACGAAAATGGGTCCAAGAGAGCTGTGGGGTCAGCTGTTCAAATCTGAGGGAGACTGGGAATCAGCTACATCTACACAAATGATCGTTTAGACAAAGTTGCTTTCTCTCTTCCATCCTTGGGTCTTGCTGCCCAGTTCTCCTCTTAGTGGTCTCACAGTGAGCCAGGGGCCACCGTAGGTCCATTCCTGTTCTTTCTGGTCAAGCCTCTGGTTTGGTGTGTTGGCCTTGGGCAGTGGGGCAGGAGCCTGCGTATTGTCCTGAGTCAGCTGCCACCAGGTGGCTGTGTCCCTCCCGCTCACATTAGGGGCCTCCAACCTACAGATGTCTGTGTGGAGACCCCTCTGGGCACACCCTTCCACCCTGTAGCTGTGCTGCCACTCTCAATAAACACACAAAGCTGTGTGTGCACACACGCACATGCATGCACACACAGACGTACACAGGATGGTTACTGTAGTGCTTGAAGTAGAGAAAAATGAAACCATGTACCTTTCCATCCGTTTAAACTTGACTGGTATGTTCATGGCCACCCATGTATAAAGCCAAGATGAGGCCACATCTTGGGGGAGATGCTTTAACACATATGGGATACCTTCAACAGGTAAAGAAAATCATCCACCTATTTTACTTGTAAACAAGGTGCAAAAATCTAAACTGAAAAGGTGGCCCTGTCAATCTGAGAATAATTTAAAAACTAGCCCAGGAAACCCACTCTCAGATCCCTCCAGCAGGACGGCAGGCTGTCTGGGCAGTCCTTGGTGCCATCTGGCTGCTCTCGCACCTGTGAGTCGCTGTTGTTTACAAGTTGGTGAGGTGACAGTTCTATTCTCGCCTTCACTATCCATGCCTGGGTCTTGCCTGTGCGATCTACTGGCTACCAATAGATGCTCAGATGTCCTGCATGACTGTGGGTCTTTTTCTGCCTTTGACCCTACAAGGTCGCTTGCTAGATTTTGGGACTGTGTTCAGAGGAGTCAGCCCTAGAACCACGTTCCCGGGGGATGGTCCATCTTGCTTTAGAGAACCCTTCACTCCCTCAGAGCCCTCACTTTTCAACATGCTTGCTCACTGGCATGACGTTATGTTAACACGATTGCACCAGGGCTCTTTTGGGGCCTGCATGCCTGCTCTCCCATTGTCCACTCATCCTTACACCTTACATCGAGGGTGCCTCCATTGAGTCCAGTGTGACAAGCGTTATCTCCTAACTGCAGTATGTGGTCCTTGTACATGTGACTTACCTGGGTTTATATCGGACGCATTCCTGTTGGATTTTTGTTTCTCTCACCCATTCCTGATTCCTTTTCTCTCTGCTTCTCTCAGATTGATTGTACCCCATGTTTATCCCCTTTTAACCTGCCAGATATAAATGACTTTACTTTGCTCTCAGTAGTTACCCTTGGATTCCACTTATCTTTGTTACAAGTCTAGTATAAATTACTCCTGTCACCCCTAGCAGGCCACGCAAGGACTCAGAACTCCTTAATTCCATTTCCAACCCACTGTCTGCATTATTGTTCTTAAATGTTTTAAATCTACTTATATCTTAGCTCTGGGAGTCATTGTTATTATTGTTATACAGTAATATTTACCTCTACTGCCCCTTCTTCTGCTCTTCATTCCTTCCTTGACCCTTAGCTTCCTTCCGGGTCATTTCCTCCCACCTGGAGTGCTCCCTTTCCCCCGTGTGTGTGCCTGCACGTGCACGTGTGAGTATGTGTCTTTCTGACGACTCTGTGCTTTCTGCTCTGGTCCCTCTGGCTGCGCCATCGGAGCAGAGCCAGTGCATCCACTCAGTTCTTGGGGATCTGACTCCGAGACCCTGGGCAGAAATAAACAGCACAGAGTGGGCATCGAGGCCCCGTGTCTAACTGTCCCCGGCTGCCAGCTGCAAAGAGCAGGTCTGCAGGTCTCTTCTTTAGCCACAGATGCCCACCAGGCCCACAGGGACCAGAGGCTCCCTTGGAGTTAGATGTGCAGCATTAGGGCCAGTGAGCCCCAATTCGGGGAGACCCCCTGCTTTGGAGAGGTCTGTGCTGCAGACCTGGAGAGAGAAGCAGGCTCTGCTCACCCAGGACATTGTAGGAGCCAGAGCAGAGGGGCCAGGGTTCCTTCAGGTGGCACGCCTCTCTCGATTTTCCTCCCATACTGCACAAGTGTTCATTTAATTTTGTTTTTCAGGCAATGCATTAAAAATACAAGAGCCGACAACCAGCTTCTGCTTGACAAACCGATCACCCCTATGTGAGTGGAAGCCTCACGCGCCCTGCTTTGAAAGGAGGTCCAGACGGCTGACAAGGACACGCTGTGCGTTTCCTCTGAGGCCTCTGGGGGAAGGGAGCCCATGAAAGATGTAAAACGTGGTGAATAAAACATCGTGACCCAGGCGCGGGCTGGGAGGAGCCCTTGCTCCCACAAAGCCTGTGGAAACCCAGCAAATCTGTATGTAGGAAGAGGTGCCTACTATTCTGGTTCACTTCCTGGATGTTTATTAAGCGAGTCAGGCAATGAGGGTCCCAGATATGGTTTGGGTGGCTGCAATCTCACTGCTACACCTTGTGGAGATGTCTATGTGGGAAACACTGTCACCAGCTCTGTCCTGTCCCCTACACAAGTGCCCCCACGCCGCCACCTGCTGTTAGCATCTGCAAAATGCATGCAGATCCCATGACCTGCCTGCCTCTCCCACCCCTTCCCCTCCAGGGGGGGTGGCTCACAGAGCTGGGTGCGCCCCCTGGCCAGCTCCACCCTAGCTGGCACTATGCCTTCTGCATAGTTGGCCTGCCCACAGAACAGACACCTGCCAGTAGTTCATGCCTGCCTCACCCCCAGGCTGCCCAAGGGAGAGGACTTGATCCTTGATGACGTGGGCCACTTTGTCCCTTTCTCACTCAGGACCTCTGGCTTCCCACTCTGTCTCGACCTCCCTGTGGCCCAGCCCTGTGGTGCAGTTTTGTCTGCACATCAAATCATATTGAGGGACACAGAACATTATAAAGCACATTTCAGAAAAAATTAGTTTAAGTCGTATTTAAACTAAATTTTTAAAATTGGTTTTTAGAGAGAAAGGAAGGGAGAGAAAGAAAAAGAGAGAGAGAAACATTGATTTGTTGTTCCACTTATTTATGCATTCATTGGTTGATTCTTGTATGTGCCCTGACTGCAGACTGAACCCACAATCTTGGCATATCTGGATGATGCTCTAACTAACTGAACTACCCAGCCAGGGCTAAACTAAATGTTTGAATTAAATGGTCAATTAAAACATTGTTAAAGTTTCGGCACGTAGAATGAGCTTCAGTTCCTAGATAGTGTGCTTCTGTGCACAATGCCTCACAGAGAGGTGACTAGACCCTGTGTCCCCACTCGCTCAGCATAGTCCCAGCTGTATGATCTCAGGCAAATCAACTCCTCCTGGACATCTGGTGACATCCCGTCTCCTAATGGGGCTTGACCCTGGGCTGGGCTCCAGGGGTCTCTGCATGTCTGTGTCAGGCCCGTGTTTCTGAGCAAATGTCCCAGCAGACATGTGGCTTGTGAGGGGGATCGCAGTGGAGAAGGACCATGGGATGGGCGGGCTGGCCAGTCCTCCCCAAAGGCCTGGCACGGGATCCTGGGTAGGACTCCTAGGAGTGCCTAGGAGTCCAGAGCCCCCTGCCTCAGCATCCCCATCTCTATTACAACCCATGTGGGGCTCTTTGAAGCAGGAGACAGTATAGGAAGAACTCTGACACTGCACTGGTGTTATTGGCCGCATCTAGCATCCTGGTTGCAAGGAAATGCCTTTTAGCACTTGGCGGAGTGAATAGCAAACGAAGGCAGGCAGGAGGAGGGAGACATGTCTCACCTGCTAACCCAGCAGTCCTGAGCCTGGTCCTATAATATCACCAGGTGTTCCAACATCACAAGAAACACTATGTTAGCAAAAAGGAGGGAAGTCCTTGAAATTCTACGTAGCATTTCTACTACCTGGGACAGAAAGCCTTGAAATTGTGTTTTCATCCCAAGGCCTGGAAGGTGGAAGATGGTTCACAATGCCCAAAGAAGAAGCCCATAAAACAACTTCGGTTAACTGCCTATCTCTGGTCACTATCTGTTTTATGAGGGAGTCCCTAATGCTTATAGAAAGAGCCCATAAATAACTTTGGGTAACTGCCCCAACTTTAATTAGCTGCCTCCTGTCATATATCTGTTTTATAAGATGAACAAATGGAGTCTGGAGCAAGATAAAGACTCAGGATAACAGGCCCCCCCACACACCTGAGTTTGGGTAGTCACGTCCCCCCTGGGAAAGCTGGCACCACATTTACCTGTCAATCAATATATAACCCTTTTCTCACATCCCAACAACTCCATAAGTCCTCAGAACAAAGCACTCGTGCTCTTGGCTCTCTGGCTGCCTGGCTTCAGGCCACCTGGCCTCTGGCCCCCCGGGGGCTTGCTGCTGTGGCTTCAGCCACTCTTACTTTCACCACCCTGCTTTCTCCTGAACCTGTGCCTTCACCCACGCCCCTTGGCTAGGCCCGTTCTCTTCCATGGGAATGGATCACCAATAAACTCTGATTGCACGCTAATAGATTTGCTGATGTTCTTTATATGTGTCAGCGAGAAGAACCAGGTCTGTCCCATCGGCACCTTCACTGTCCTTGTCACCCACCATCTGGAGGTTTCTGATCTCTCAGAGCAGTTGGGGGGGGTAGTTGCATCTCTATCCCAATCCCAATGTGCGCCCAGCATCCAGAATGTGCCAGAACACAGAATGAGTCTCCTGCTTGGGTTTCTGCTGCCTCGGGGAGGTAGGTACCTGCACTGACCGACCTCGGAGTGGAGAGGGGCTGGCCCTGCTGGTGGAGACTGAAAGGCTGCTTCAGGGGGGCTGCAGGGGGAATCGTGGAGGCTCACCCCGCCCTTTCACGAGACAGAGGTGAAGGGGCCTCACTGAGAACCAGCCCTTGTGGGCCCTGCTTGGTTTGTACCACCTCCTCCTCACCCACCAATCACATCACCATCCTGGCTGGCCCCGCTGTGCCTCGGGATGGCTGATAGTGCCTTCCTCAACTCGATTTCACCTAACCCATGATGCCATCTGGTTCCACGGCGACCTTGTGGCCAAGTCAGGATGTGAATGCCCCTACCTCCCAAAGAGACTGAGGCTCAGATGGAGTGAATGCCTGAGTCAGACAGCCAGAGGTGACCTGGGGTAATGCAGGCTCTCTCATCCCTGGTGACTGTGAGCCATGTTTTAGGAGAGGGGACCAGGAGATCCCAAGGCCTGGCCCCTCCCACTTGGCCATGTTTGACTTGATAGTATGACTTGACCCACTGATCCTGTTACACACCTAATAGAAATCATGTAGTCACACTTGGAGTGGGGGACCGTCGGGCTGTGAGCCAGCAATCAGTCTTGGTTTGCGTGCCTTTCATAACTTCTCACATAAGCAGGTCACTCAGAGGGGTACAATTTTCCACCACTTAGGAAATAAATGTCTTTGCTTTGTAAAACCATTCTCAGGGCAAAGTATGTTCTGGGCAGCTTAAAGAGAAAAAAAATAAGCTTAATCCAAATACTTTCGTTTCAAGTGACAAGCAGCGGGAGGCACAATGTGCCCGTTTCCAGGATGGAGGGGTTTTAATCCGAAGTCCTCCCCACGCCAAGATATAAACCCCAGAAAGGATCAGGCACTTCATCCTCATCAGATTTTTCCTCTTACATTTTTGAATGCCAAGGTTTGTGCAAAGTGTCATCTGTTATTGTGAGTAACACGGAGTCAGGCAGGACAGCCAGGGCTGCGGGGTGGGGGAGCGTGGTTTCTGTCCAGCCAACTTATTTAAGGGGCTCTCGAGACTGATCTGGGGGGACGGCCCCTCCTCCTGGGGAGGGCGTCACAGAACTCACAGAATGTATGTGAGCTGCTCTAATACTGAGCTGTTAATCCTGGTGCTTTGAGAACATGTCCTAGCTTTGGACTGAGGAAAATTTTGCCTTAACTGCACTTTAAGGAAGCAGGCAGAGTGGTGACGTGCGGCCTGTATTGCAGTTTCCTCTGTAAAATGAAGTACGAGCTGCATATCTGGTGGCCATATGCTCCGTAGGTAGACAGTGAAGTGTGAGGTGCCCTCAGGCAGGTGAGGGTGGGGCTGGGGGAACAGAGCAGGAGCTTCTCCTGAGACAGAGGTCACTGACTTCACAGACTTGACCGTGTGATTTCTCTCCGCACCCACCATGAGTGGACACCTGCGTTACCCACCATGGCTCCTGACTTCCCTTCCATGTGCGGCTGTGGGATGCACCGCTGGGTACTCGCTGAGTCAGAGGAATTAGCACCCATTCTCGTCCCTGCCACTTCTGAAGGCCCTCATGAGCCCGGAGGACCAAAGCCTGGGTGCTGACCATGGTCTGTGGCAGCAGGAGCTGCGATTTGAAGTACCAGCTGCACATTTCTGAGCATTGAGACTCTGCAAACCACTCAGTCCGTTTATCTGATGCTGGTACCAATCACCCCAACACTCAGTGGCTTAAAGACAAGCAATCATTTCTTTTTGTCCATCTGGTCCTGGGGTTTCTCTTGCACTCAGACAGTGACTGGGGACCACCAAAATCTCCGCACCCAGGCTGGGAGAACTCAATGGAAGGGTTCCAAGGAACTGCTCACTGTGCCCGGGGGGCTCTCCACATGGCCTCTCCAGTGTGGCGGCATCAGGTTAGAGAACTGTTACTCCAGCCTCAGCACTCCAGGTGATTGGCCCAAGAGAGACAGAGCCAGGCGAAAGCTGGATTGTCCTTTTGGCCTGGCCACACAGGTTCTGCAGTGTCATATACACCATGGTCTGAATTGAGGTGTCCATAGGAGTCCACTCTGGGTCAAGGGGAGTGGACACAGGTCCTGTCTCTTCACAGAGAACAGGCAGTTGCAATACTATTTAGGGAGGCTAGTATGAGTAAATATGCTTCATTCCTTCCAACACCTGGTTTGGCCCACAGGAAAACTGCAATTTTCAGGGTCTAAAGTGGGCGTGTTTCAATATGTGGCTGTCAGAGCTCAAAAGAGCCTTTGAATTATATGTAAATTCAAATAAAAGATGCATTGTTGGCTGCACTTCCAAAATCATAATATTGTTTGTTTCAGTCCATCCATCAATTATGCAAAAGCTTTTGGTGAATTTCGGCTGGTAAATTTCCATCTCCCGTGAAACTCATCATCACTGTTCCTGCAAGCTTATTGGAAAGAGTTGCAGTTGTGTGTTTTTAAACAAATGAGTTAAGAACTCACTGAAACTTCTGGCAACAAGACACATAACATTAAAAAACAGTTCAAATACCAGCTTTCAGAGTATATCACCTGTTTTTTTAAAACATTTTCTCACTAATTGTTAAAACTCCATTTTTTACCTGGACAGATAGATTCTATAAGGTCTTTTGCTTTT